ATTAGAAAGCTATGAAAACTAATCAACGAGAGAGATCCACAATCAAAGGATCGTAGATCTGAACTCCCGCGGGAGACTGTAGAGTGTGATAGAGTAGGTTGCGGTAGCAATCCTACTCACTCCACGATCCAAAAACGGAACGCGTGGAAGATTCGTCTAGCATTTATCTAGTAGCGTGGAAGTACTCCACGCTGGCTAAATATCTAGAGCGATGTTTCATCATCAACCTAGTATGACTAGAGCGGTCATTGAGAACCCTGTCTCAATGACTATTCACGAGAGACTCAGTCATGAGTCGAACTCAAACCCTATCTAGGATCGAGTCGCGAATAAGGCTAAGAGCCGTGTATTGCATTTGTCGAAGATGTGTGCGAGGTCCAGTAGTGTGGCTGCATCGCTGTCGGTGAAGGCATGTGCTCGTGGATTGGTTGTTGGTTGTTGTAATGCCCTTGCAATGTCCTGGAGCCCACCGATGGCCATATCTAGTTGTGTTGGCATAGGTGTCTGTAGGCGTTCTGGGAACCATGTGAGAGTGTCGGCTTTCCGTTCTCTTTGTGTGTCCCATATCCAGGTGCGAAAGCATCGATAGGCTTGTAATTCAGGTCCTATGTACCATCCATCTTTGCCCTTTGGGGCCCAAGTGGCTCTTTCTTTTGGTTTTTCGTGCACGACAATATGCATTCCTGGGGGAGCAATGGGTGTTGCTGTGAAGTCAAAATGGCCGAAAACTTGGGCATGGGCGGACAGCGCCGGATTGATTCGAGGGCCTCTGAGGAGGTTGAGTGTGATGGTGCACTGTGGGATGAGTTTGTCCCAAAGGTGTAGTGGGAAGTTGCTGTCGGTCGTGCAGAGTCCAGCAATAAGGTGGTCCTTGTAGGTCCTGATGGCACGTTCGGCTGCATTTCGACGATGGATGCCGGCTGGTGTTGTCTGTAGTTGTATTCCTTCTTCATGGATGTGGTCCCGCAAGAGTTTGGAGCACTCGTTGTCGAGGACGTGTAACTTTGGTCGCAAACCGGCTTTAACGAGTCGGTTGTGGATTGTGGTCCATGCTTGTACATGGGCTTTGGCTGTGCGATTGGGCATTGGTTCTGCGTGAATCGAGTTGCTATCATAGTGATAGAGGATGAATAGATAGTTGTTTCCGGTGCTGGACGGTATAAAGAACCTTCCGGTTTGGTCGGAGAACGTTTTTCCTGTTGGTTGGATGACGGCCGCATAACTGACTTGGTTTGGTGCGGTGGTGTCGACTTCGGAATGCTGTGGGAACTGCTCCTCGTGTTCTGGGAGCAGAGGTAGTGGGGTGTAAAATACTCGTTAGTTTAGCAAACTATGGCCACGGAGTGGCTTTTATGACGCGGGCAAGTGGTGGGGAAGCCCCCACCTAGCTGAGTCGTCATCTACTTATTTGCCCAATCAACATGACTTCATCCACTGGCCCAACGTGGAGCCAGCACCAAGTAGACAGATGCCCTGGGTAGGGGGGTGAGCACATTGATAGGGAACCTGCAGCGCAAAACCTGGGTTATAGGTTATAGGGGCTTACACATGATTTTTGTCGGTATTGAAACCATTATCACCAAAGGGACCGTGAGGACCAGTTAGATTGCCAGACCAAAGAGTGCTCGCCAGTAAGTGTGTCTGGGTGATCAGGTCCCAAGCTGTGGCAAGGGCCTTGGCATGCAAGGCAAGATGCCAGCAGAGCCCGTAGGAGGTGGTACTCCTTGGACCAGAGCAGGTTGTGTAACCATCAATGCAACAAAAATTGTTAAGATTAGAGGCACAAGCAGGCGTAGATTGGGTTCAAAATGACCACACTGGGCAGTGTGTGGTTCCCAGTAGGGAGGCACAGTGGCTGCTGGAGTGTTTGGGGCTGTTCGAGGGGTTGTTGAGTCAATAGAAGGGGGAAAAGGGGGCACTGGGAGTGGACTGGTGCCAGGGGCAGTGAGGGGGGATCCTGATGGGGTTGGAGTGTTGTTGTAGGAGGGGGGATGTAGCATGGTTGATGGTGTGTTTTAGGATAGAGGCGTGCCTCTGTTCAAGGGTGAAAACAATTGGCATCCTCCCTGATTAGGGTTTAGGGTGTGATTCGGAAGGGTGTGATCCTTAAGATGGCTGCATGCTCTAGGAGCTGTTGGCTGATTATCTGGGGAGTGGTTGTTGTGTGTCTGCGTGAGGCATGGTGGATGGGTTGGTTGGGTGAAGTGTGGGAGTGGGGGAATGTCTGTGGGGACCTTGGGTTTGAGTGAAGTTGTGGGTAGACATGGGGAGTTCATGGTGGGTGGTAGTGGTTGGGTTGGTGGGAGAGTTGTGTATCCTTGAGTATTGACTGTAGTGTCGTTGCTTCAACGCAAGCAAATGGAGGTTGCTTGTGAGGTGTCGAGATGATTGATGTAGAGGGGTGTATTCAAGGGGCAATGCACTGAGGCACTGGTTATCAAGGTTTATATCAGTTGTTGGCGTTGTTGTTTGCATTGGATCAAAGGCTGTGGCCCAGTCTGGTGCAGGTATACCACTACCTGCAGAAGAAGATGGTATCAGAGCAAAAGGCTGTTAGGGATTCTTTCAGGGAAAACTGGAGAAGTCACGCTATAACCAGTAGAGGCAGTGGTGGTGGGATCATAGGGTGTTGTTGTGTTGATGGTGGCTGTTGTTTACTGGGATGACACTGGTTTGTCTCAAAGGCTGGTAATCAATCTGTTGTAGGGTCAGAACTGCAACAGAGAGTCAAGCCAAGATGTGCGGAGGGTACTCGCTTCAGGTGGAACTGTTTGGAAAGTCTGATGGAGGTTCACTCAAACCATCAATGAGAGAGAGATTAGGGAGTCTAGTTATGTCATTATCTATATATGCCACACCACGCTGCTATTCTTGTCTGGGTGTCATCCTTTGAGCACCCACTCAGTAGGAAGTCAGGTGCTAGTAGCAGAGAGGGTGGCTGTTTCAATTAGGGTGTTGACAATCTAGCAACACGCTATAGGGGGCAGCTTTTGTAGATTGTTGCTTGGGGGGGGTGGATCTGTAGGGGGAGGGTTGTGATTATCCCAGGGGGCTGTCATTAATCAGCCTAAATGTGCAAGCTGGTGATAGATTGCTTGTTAGGACAAGGTGGAGACTGTGCTCAGTGGAGTCACAAGTCTGAAGTTCAGCTGTGTCAGCTGAACTCAAGTCCTTACAGGAACTCTGTTGTTGTTTGTTGTTCCTCTTGGGGAGGATTAGATATCAATGTATGAGTGTAACAGTAGCAGGTGTCGATCAGTCAATCAGTCTGTATAGGGATAGGACTGGTTGGATCAGTAGGATCAGTTCCAACAAGGACGCGGGAGAAAACACTAGTGGCCGGTGAGAAAGTAAGAATACAGTGTATTCTCTTCTCGGTGGTCACTGCAGGTATCTCGTGAAGTCCTTCTTGATAAAAGTAGGCTTCGTACGGAGGAGTATGGTTCATGGTCGCTAACGGTCGCGGGAAGATTGATCGATTCACGGAGTAGCGAGTCTTGGATTCGATTCGATTCGTTGAATCGAATCGATTCGCGATTCGGGTGAGTCAGTTGCCTTAGGGGTAAGGTTAACTGATCCTGTTGTTGCGGAGGAAGATGGATCGTTCGAAAAAGAGGAGCGACAATGGGATTTCTTCGGCCGTCAGGAGCTTAGTTCAGAAAACAACAATGATACGTATGGGAATTGTTTTCTGTACTGTGCTGTGGAAGGCCGGAGACTTCTTCTTGTGGTCAAATTCTTCCAACTTGGCCGTCGGCGGTCGAGAATAGAAAACCCGCCCGATCTCGTACGATTTCAATTGGGATGGCTTTCTAATCTGGACCGGAGAACGCCGCGTTGATAGTCGCTTGATAGGGGAGGTGCGCTTGATAGGAGATAGGAGGTATCGATCCGTTTCGGCTTGAAGAGGTTGTAAAGAGAGGAAAAAAGGGATGTATGTTTTCCGTGATGACGTTGAGTTGAATCCTATAGTAATACAGTACTCTTCGACAAGATAACAGAAAACAGGCTTCCTGAGGTCCTTTCGCTTCGTTTCAATGCTTCTAATGGTGCTAATAGGTAGTGTAATGGTATAGGTATGACCGATGGGTTGTGTTTGTTGCTATTAGTGTTGTTGTTCTTGTAGTGACAGATCCAGAGGGGAAGCGCTTCGGTTTTCGGCTTCCCGTGAAAAAGTCTGGGAGCAGAGGTAGTGGTTCTGGGTCTGTCTTCGTGGATTGGATGCCTTGGCGTTGTTGGTTCATATGTCCTTTCGCGGTAGCTATGGAATGTGGGGTGTATTTGTTGAAAGTTTCGAGGGTAAGCCCTGGATAGTTGGTGATGTATTGCTTTGTTAGTGCTTCCTTGAGGGTTGATAGTGCCAGGGAGAAGAAAGCTGCGTGGGCAAAAGCGACTAGGTCTGCTGGTTTGGCTGTTGGTGTGGTGGCCATAAGATTGGCTCGTTCTTGTTTGGTTCCTGGTTTTGGTGGCATATCGATTTCCCATAATAGGTTTGTGGATAAGTTCCGGTTGCCGGTGAGGATGGTGTCGCCCATGAAAGAGATGATGCATTGATGTGCTCGGAAGATTGCCTCACATCCAGCATCGCATAATTGTCCGATGGAGAGGAGGGACGTTGTTCCCAAGGTAGGAAACAAGTGGGCCTTTGTGGCTGTGTTGGGGAGACTCGGTAGGTCGAGGTTGCACGTGTGTGTAGAAATGATGACAGAGTTGTCTGGGAGAGTGACCTGTATTGGTGTTGAATTCGGTTGGATGTTAGTTATGTTTTCATTGCTGACTGCAATGAAGTCCGTGGACAGGAAGTGTCCGGTACTGCCTGTGTCTGCGACTATAGGTGTCGTGTCGTTTGTGTCTGTGGTTGCTATGTGATTCGGGGGACCATCTTTTTGTTCTTGTATCTTTTGTTCTTTTAACTTATCCGCTTTTACTATATCACGTGCATTATTTGGTTTACTTTTTTCTTTGTTGTTTGATACGTCCGTGAATGGCTCCCGTCTTGCTCAGGTGTTGGTTGGTGGAACTTGGTTCTCTTCGTTTTCACGGCTTGGGCGCTGAGGGCGCCTGTAGACTGCTTTCTCACCAGCCCTACGATGGATGACACAGCATCCGCCTAGCATGTCATCAGCTGTAGCTTCATCTCGGTGGCCAGGGAGTTTCTTGGTGCAGGTGTTGCTTGTGTGGTTGCTGTTTGGGCCCTGTCCGTGGGACCAGCAATAGTACATGGGATGCCTCCGGTTTGTTGCTTTGTTCGCGGTTCCTTTTGTTGGTTTCTCCGTCGCTTTGTTCGCATATCCGACTTGTTTGGGAGTGAGGATGCATCGTCGTTCTTTATCGGCGGATGTGAAGTGCTTCTCTAAGTCGGTGAAGGCTTGGTCTTCTTCTTCTTTCTTCCTCCAATCTTTCATGGCGTCGGTGAAGACTCCACTGTTGGTTAGGTTTGCGATGGCTGCGCGGACTGCCATTTTATCTGTAATAGGATCATGGTCGGCTGCAAACTTCTGAGCGTCCTTGACTTGATTGAAGAGATCTTCAATGGGTTGATCGGGGCTCCAATTTGCATCCATTCTCTTGATGTTATCGACTAGGTCGTCGGCATCTACTTTGCCATACTTGGTGTCGAGGTGTTGTAGGAGGGTGCGAACGGTGATTTGGGCATATCCGTAGAGTTCATTTTTCAATGCTTTGGTGAATGTATCTGGAACTGCTTCCAATAGTTGCTTCTGGAGCGTTGTTTCAGTAGCTCTGTAGATGAGGAAACGTTGTTCTCTGGCGGCATATACTCGATTGTTTTCGGTGATTTGGGGTCCTGTTGGTGCTACCCCGTGATCTGGGGCTGGACCTGGATGTTCTGGGTTTTCCCAAGGGATGGTATATGGTAGGTCGTTGTAGGTGATGGGCTGTAGCACCAATGCGAGGTGTCCATAATGTCCTCCTCCAAGGGCGGATGGGATTGTCATTGCATTGGCATTTAGCTCTTGGTGGATGATTTTGAGGCTGTTGTAGTTTGGTTTCTCATCAGGGGGAATAGCTGTGAGTGTAGTTTTGGTGAAGTGGTCGATGGGTACAAAGGATGTCATGTTGGTTTGTGTTAGAGGGTGACGGCAACGATGGAGGAAGACTCTTGCTGATGCTCTCGGTGTGGAGAGTTTGTCGGTGTGTTGGATTGTTAATAACTGTTGATCCAGGCTGGGGCCAGGTAAGAATTAGTTAGTAAAGGTTTGTTATTAACAATTATGAGCTGGTAGTTTCTAGGTAAATGTCCCCATACTGGAGCACACAGGCCCAGCTGGGGAGTGCCAACTCTAACAGCTGCTAACGGTTTCTGGCTCCTATGTGGAGTCCTGCGAGCAGGGGGAGCCAGGAGATGGGCTTGCTAGCATTTAATAGTGGTAGGGATCTGGTACAGGACTCAAAGACTTAAGGGTCCTGGTGCCAGATCAACACCGAGGACATGCTGCTCCCCATCACCAGTATGGCCTGGTTCCACACCAACAGTTCCTAGGTTGGCTAGTTGGGAGTCGGGAACACGGCGGTTGACATCGTAGTGGGTGGCGGCATTCTTGAGTGTCTCCTTGTAGGCTTCGTAAGTGAAGCGTTCTTGGGGACCATGACGGCACATCATTTCATGCTCACGGGACCTGGTGTCGTTCAGGACTTGGACATCGGTGAAGGCACGCTGCAGGAACAGCTTCTGCATGCTGTCACTGAGCTTGTCGCTAGGATCTTGGTGGCCATCATTGTAGTGGGTGATGGTCTCGTCAAACTTGATGACAAAGTCAACAGCAGAGCCCTGCCTTGGACTGTACTGGACACTTGAAAGCCAATGGAGGACCTCAACATGGTCCAGGGTGCTTGCTACTGATGCATGTGCATCCTGGATCAGTTCCACAAGGATTGCAAAGCAATCAGCATCATGGAAGTGAGACTTCACAATGACTTTCCCATTGGTTGTCTTCACTGTGTTCAGGAGGACAGCATAGATCCACCGGTTCATCCGTAGGAGTTCTGCAAAGTACTCGGCAGTCATGGGAACATATTCAGTGTCGAAGACCTTGTAGAAGCCTTGTGCTCTGGCTATGACAATGAAAGCCTCATACCAAGTGTCAAACTCCTTGTTGGATCTAAGAGTAGGGTAGGCTGTGGCATCTGCCTTGGCACGGAAGTGCCTGCGTTCTGGTTCTGGATTGCCACCGCCTCCACCTCCTCCAGGGCATGGGTCACTGCCATCAGGATCTCCTTGGTCACCGTTGTCATTACCTTGTGGATTGCCACCAAAGCAGTCAGGATTTCCTGAATCAACAGGACCTGCTAGATTGTTGGGACTCCTTCCTTGCATCCTTTTCATGGGAGACATGCCATGCATGTTGGAGAAGATGGATTGCTTCACCTGTGGTTGTGGCCATTGGCTCCCCAGAGGATTGGGAATGGAGTTCCTCTTTGACTGCTCCTCCAGAGGCACAAAAGGTTGGCTGATTGGAGGGATGGCTGAATACACTGGTGTCTGGGATGAGACTACTCCAGTAGGTTGGATGGTGGAGGACACAGGTTGAATGGGAGTGTACTCTACCCTTGGATGTGATGGGATTGTTGTTGGTTGGTGGGTGCATTCCTCCCCATTGGGGGCCCATACTTGGTCAAGGTAGTAATCTCCAATAGGTGGAGAGGCAACATCCATGGCAACATGCAGTTGGAATGGATAATAACCAAGGGGGTCCCTAACATCACCCAACAAGCTCTCTTCCAAACTGCCTGGTTCTGAATCGGTCCTCCCAGCCTTTATCTCAGGGCTGGGCTTGAGTGATAACACAGGTGTTCTAGGAATAGAGCCATGGGATAGTATGCCATGGAGGGAAGGTGCATTGCAGGAATCAAGGGCAGCTTGCTTTGATGCCTCTGTCAATGCCAATGTCAGCTGCTCAAGTTGTTGGCTGATCATTGTTGTTGTTGTTGTGTCATGGTTGGCTAGATTGGAGGAAGCCAAGCTGGAGGTGGCACTGTGGTGTGGTGGTAACAAACAGGCTGGGGGATCTACAGGTGTTCTGACAGGAGGAGCTGGAGCTGGAGCTGGAGCTGGTGCCTCTGCAGTAGTGGATCTGTTGGTGTTGTCCTGTGTGTTGGTGCCATTGGATGCTAGTGATATGGTGTCACTGGCATCCATTTCCTGCTGTTGCTTCTTCTTCAAGGATATAACGAAGTTTTATTTTAAAGGCTACACCTCGTCAGACGATCCGCTGAACGGTGCCGTGACGAACCCATATATTGCGGCCCATGATGATTGGTGCGCTGGCTAGACAGTGTAGTAGTGTGGTGGTAGTGTAGTGGTGTTGCCTGTTCCTTGGAATGGTATGGTTGGCTGGAGAGGCGCTGTACAACCACAACCACAGAAATCCAAAATGTGGATTTGAGAAGCTGCACTGCTGGTAGTTGATCAAGCAGGACCTTCTCTATCCACTACTATCCTTGGATACCTTGAAACAGTTCAAAAGGTGTCCTCGTGTTGCTTCGAATCACCTTCTTAGAAGCTGTCAACGAGCGAACGAGGTATGTGCTAGGGCAATGTAACCAGCTCCCCAAGTACTCTGAAGCAGTGATTGGGTAGCATTGAACCAGCTCTCTTTGAGCTGGCCTTTCAGCCAGTGGAGGAGATCTCCATCACTAGAGATCTCCCTCCCAGCTCTTGTGTTCCTACAACTGAGTTCCCTGGCGGAGATTCATAGGATTAACATAGCCGCATAGCAAGTGACACAAGAGTGGCTCTACACGCAGTGCGAGTGGAGAAGAGTGGAAGCCTCGAACGAAAACAAGGAAATCGACAAGGAAATCCCGATCAAGCCGAAAACTGGAATCGCGAACGATTCGAGTGAAACCAAGACGGTCATCTACCAACCTGGACCTTCTCTACAAGTTGCACCAACCAGCTTCTTGTTGATTGGTCTAGTTGTTGAGATCGCGAGTAGAAGAACGGCACATCATCATTGTCGATCGATCCATACGGAAAGATAGCGATTTTCTCAGTCGTGCTTTTACGGAGGATACTGGCAAACGAATCGGTACTCACACGGTACTCACAAGACGTACCTCTTCTGACTTCCGAGTGACGTACTTGACATACCTCTGTTCCGAAAGCAAGCCGACACATCGCGCGAATAGGCTCCTCACATTTTCTTGGAAATTCCGAACTCCTCCAGTCAAGACTCAAGGAACCCGGAAAGCCACGAAGATACGCTGCTCCGTACGGGAAGCCAACTGCGGTTACCCCTGTTGCTAAGGCCGACCTCGCTAACAAGGTTGACGTGGGAACGTTGCTACAAGACCCTGCCGTCAATCAGTTCCTCACTATGCTAACCAAACAGCCTGGTCTGTTTGCACAGGTCGCCAAACCAGCTGCTGTAGTCGCCGATACTCCAGCAGCATCCAACAACGACGACTCGGTCTTCGAAACTAGCGTCGTGGAAGTCGTCGCCGCCACTTCCAAGAAGGTCCTCAAGACAACTGGAGCTGGAACTGCCGTCGCGATCAAACAAGAAAGCAAGCCTGCCGGGAATGACAGCTCGAAGCTCGATGCCGACAAGCCTGTTGTTCTAGTTCGATGCCGTCCAGCTCAAGATAGCAGTCGCAACCTCACAGTCGAGATGGTCGGGAAGCGTTGGTTCACGGACTTCCTTACAACCCACCAGGTCGAAGACCGTGGTCTGAGCGGACTCGACATCGAGACCAAAATTGGAGGTCGCTCCGCGCTCATTTCCAAGCTAGTGGCTTTCATGAAAGACAATGTGTACAAGACTCGTATCCCTTCTGTCACGAAACGTCGAACTGGTCTCCAGCATTCCATGCGCATGGGAGTTCAACTTTGGAGTCTCACCATTGACGAACAGCGCAAGGTGCTCTCCCAGGAGGACGCCACGTGCTACGCCGCCTCGGAGAGTGACTATGAATGGAACGACCCTGAGCAGCCATTCATTGAAGTTGACGACGACAGTGATAAAGAAGAGGAGCAGGACGAGGACGAGGACGAGAGCGAGACATAAGCGAGGACGAGGTCGATCTACGAAAATACAAGAGATGGAGCTACTACCACTACATTGCATGTTTGAGTTTGTTTAGAGTTTGACATCGTTGTGCAGCAAACTACGGTACAAAATTTGCTACCCCGTTCGGTTCAAGAGGGAGTGCGAGAGGAGCCAAAACCAGCTTGTGGTTGGCATTCACGAGGTGAACCTCCCGGGACTCGCTAGAACGAGGTAGACGTAGAATCCCCTTTTAATTTTTAGCTTATTCTTTTGTGTCATCCCATGTCTACATCGTATTGCACATCGGCCTCCGTTCCCAGCTCTCGCGGCCAAAGGCGTTGCAGGATTTGCTGACCTTCTCTTGCTCGATCACATTGACCAACATGGAGGAACTCAAAGTCCCTGCCGCATGCACTGAACCTGCACGACCTGTCGCATTGACAAAATGCCACCTACTAGTTACATTATGAGTTGCAGCCTCGTATACATTGTTTCTACTTCAACTTACAGCACAAGTCAACACTCATTGCTTGATCTAGGAGATTCGATTCGCGCATCGTCCTTGCTCCGACAAGTCATAATTTATTTTCGTTACCTCGTCCAATTCACACTCGCACCATGCAGCTGGTTCACAAGTTCGCGCTGGCGCCGCCTCGTCCCTCGTAGCCATCTTCTCTTTCAGTACCAGCTCTGTCTCTTGTAGCACCGCCATGCAGTGCTCACTGGGCCCGGATGCCGGGTGAATTCGATTCTGTTTGCTTCGATGTTGGACCCTCAAGTGTAGTACTTCTCTCCGTAGCTCCTTAGCAACGAACACTCTCTCCACAACGAAGCATTCCGAGCGGTGTGTGCAGGTGTGTCAGTTTCGATTGCGTTTTTCCGTGCGCTATCAAGCTAATAATATGAGAAGCCAAGTTTTTTGGCTACAAAGACATCCACGACCGCAGTGACATTGCCCAATGACAACTCAATTTTTTGGTGGGATCCACGAAAAATTGCGTGTTTGGGTGTTGCGGCAACACAACCCGTCAAGGACAATTCCCTTCATGTTGTCGCCCTTCGTTTTACATGTACGGTATCTTTGGTCCCTCTCGAGGGTCCGTCTTTCACCCCAGCGTAGCGTTGGTACAGTACCTGTACCTCGTATTGGCTCATCTGTCGATCGTTTTCTATTGAAAACGAAGACTGATGAATCCCCGCATTTGTCACCAGTGCCCTGCAGGTACTGGTACGATCCTACCAGCCTACTAGACTCCCCAAACTTTATCCGCTAAGTTTGTTCTTCATCAGTCCTGCGTTTCGCTCCCACAAATTACTGTTCCTGGTAGTTGAAGTAAATATCTGTCAGAATCATTTTTAATGAAGTCAACCGTGCCCATACATGTACAGTCGCACAGTCCTACAAGTACAGTCGTACCGCCATCTACCCGACATTTTAAAGGTGCGTGTCATCCAGCTGTGCGCATGCCTCCCTCCACGTGGCCACTCTTTGAGGCTCTTGCCCATATGTCATGTCAATAGAAATGCGTCAGTTTCAAATAAAGACGACGGTCAGATGCGGCCACGTCACCCCTCCTTGAAGCTTTCTTTAACCCTGTTTGACGCATGCAAGCATGCAATCAATTGCTTCTTATTGGAGCTCTGGACTTCGGATGAGGCCGGAGGAGGCAGAGGTGACGCACTCGGGTCGATCGATCACCTTGCCTTGAGCCAAATCGTACTGTCGACGGCTTCGCTTTACACGCTAATAACATGCAAGCAGCAGATCCAGGCCGACCATAAAGCTTTAACTCGAGTTTGTTTGTCCCCGATTCCATCGCTCTTATGACTGAAGAAAGCAAATCCAATGATGCCAAAGACAATTCGGCCACAACGGAAGGTGCCGAAAGCAGGACAACTTCCACGGGTAGCGGTATTGGTCTAAATCCAATGGAAGATGATTCTCTTTTCCGAGGAATGGAAGATGAGCAGCAGTTTGGTGTAGCTCCAGCAGCGCCTCAGATTCCAGTGGAGATGGTTCCACAATGGAAGCACAGTGTCGATGATAATGAGACATGTGTTTCTTCCGTTACTATTGCCCTTCAGGATGCAGATCTATTTGTGGACCGTATGTATCCTAATCTTCAAGATGTTCCTGAAGAAGAGGACGAACCACAGCCCATGGTAGATTCTAATCCAAGCCCTACTAGGGTCGCAAATAATGAGCATGTGGTTGCTGCCAGCTCGCCAAATACTGATTCTGTGGAAAATGCCAAAGGAATTCATTCAGCAGAGATGGACAAGCTGAATGGCAACAGCTTTGCTGCGCAAGGAAATGCTTCTCCTCCAGCAATTCCTCTGGCAAGGGACCAACCCATAAATGATGTTGCAAAAGGCGGGATTGAGCTAATCCCATTGTCATCCACAGATCAAATTAATGAAGCTGCCAAAATGGGAAGAATTGCCATTGCAGCTTGTGTCAGCACAAATGACGATGTTTTATCCAATGCACAAAGTGCTACTCTTGTGAGGGAACAACAAGATTCTGCACCAGGCAATACTGTACCAGGAATTACTGTCCCAGGACATATGGAAGAGGCGCTCACAGAAGTACGGGATGTCCCACAAGCTGGCTTATACCGAACAGCACAGATGTATCCACAATCCGAGCCAGGTGCGTTCCTGGGTGCACCAGGAGGAGGACAGATGCAACGAAACCCCCGCTTAAACTATGACCTTGTCGGTGCTAATAATTTGAGCATTGATAATAGTGGTCCAGAAGATGCCAGTAATGGCACTGGTACTGCTGTACTGATGACATCGACAAATGAAGGGTTGGTACAGGCTAATGCCGTAGAGGATGATACGGCTGACTTGATGCATGCCGATCCGGTTGATCTGGAAGCCGCCAAGCAACGTACACTCCAAAGGAAGCAGCAGCAGAAATATTTCTTGGCAGCAGTTGTTTGGTTGTTGCTGGTTGCTGCCATTGTTGTGGGATTCGTTGTGGGAACTCAGAAGACAAAGAAGGAAGGTGTGGCTGTCTTCGAGTCAACTGAGGCTCCAACAGCTTATGGCTCCATGGAACCCTCCGAAGCGCCATCTTTTGCCCCCACTGGGGTTCTAGACTTGCTGATGGATAGTCTACCAAGTCACACTCTGGCTAGCATCAACAATGGCAGTGATAGCGCTCAATGGAAGGCATGGCAATGGCTTGCGGAACACCAAAATATCACGTTTCTTCCAGAATGGAGAAAGACTCAGCTGTTTGCCCTTGCTACTTTATTCTATGCCTTTGAAGGAGAAAGTTGGAATCATTTGATAAAGGGCCATGGGTGGATGGATGACACAGTCGAAGAGTGTGACTGGTTCTCCAGTGGGTTTGGATATTTTTGGCGTGGAAAGTACTCTCAATTATCGGATCCGGTTTTTTCATGCAATGACCACGGGCAGTTCACATCTTTGGATCTGCAAGACCTGCAGCTCTCTGGTCTCCTCCCAGTTTTGACACCTGAGATTGCGCTCTTGACTTCCTTGTCTCGTGTGGAATTTTGGAGCAATGACATTGCTACACCAGTTTCATCTATGTTACCAACAGAACTTTATGAGATTACTGGATTGAAACGTTTGACCTTGGCGGGAAATCGGTTCACTGGCAAAATTCCCTCGGAGATTTCATTGTTGACTTCATTGTCCCGACTTGACTTGGGAGCAAATCAATTGACCGGTTCATTTCCTTCTGAGCTTGGGCTCCTGGCCTCACTGGAAGAACTTGACCTTTGGTATAATCAATTGACGGGCCCACTGCCTTCTGAACTAGGGCTCCTGACCTCAGTGAATACTCTTTGGCTTGCTGAGAATCAGTTGTCCGGTCAGATTGCTTCAGAGCTTGGGCTGCTTGTCTCATTGGAAGAGCTTTGGATTCATTCGAATCAGCTTACTGGTCCACTGCCTTCGGAGCTTGGGTTACTGACCTCATTGATGTGGCTTGACCTTGATGATAATCAGTTGACTGGTCCAGTTCCCTCTGAGCTTGGGCGTCTGACGTCGTTGTATGAGCTTTCCTTATTTGTCAATCAGTTTTCCGGTCCAGTTCCTTCTGAGCTTGGGCTCCTGACCTCAGTGAGATCTCTTAACCTTTTTGATAACTGGTTGACAGGTCCACTGCCTTCTGAGCTTGGGCTCCTGACATCATTGCGGGAGCTTCTTCTTTATGACAATCAGTTCACCAGCACAATTCCGACTGAAATCGGCTTGATGACATCACTGACATCTCTGCTTATTCAAAACAATAACCTGACAGGAACACTGCCCAGCCAACTGAATGCATCAATGGGATTGAGGCTACATGGCAACCAGTTCTCAGGAACTGTCCCGAAGCATCTTTGTTCTTTTCTGTGGTGTGATTGTTCCCAAAATGAAACTCCCCCTGTTTCTACCTGTGCTGACCTCATCGAAGCTCCACCGGATTGGCCTGGACGATTTCCAACCAGAGGTGCGGATGTCATTGTCAATGTCCAAACTGATGATTATCCAGAGGAAACATCATGGGTTTGGCAGAAGGAAACCAATGAGACTGGTATTTGGGACACATTGGAATCCGGTGGTCAACTGGACTTTAAAGATTATCTTTACTCCCTTCTCTTCCCAGTGAACACTTACACAGCCTACAGATTGATTGTGTCTGACAGCTGGGGTGATGGCCTGACCTCTGGTTGGATCACTCTGACAGCGGACAACCAAACAGTATTGTATTCTTTCATTGCTGCTGAGGCCTTCTCTGAAATCACCATTGGCATTTTGGTTGGAGCAGATGGATCTTTTGATGTGACCAATTCTACAGCTCTATAATTCTATGTTATATATTTCTATAGGTAAACAACTAAATGGCTGCGCGGCTGTTGAGTGCTGCAGTCATCTTTGGCCAGCTATCGAGTCCACTTCTCTCCGTAGCTCTGTAGCAACGGAATTTCGTACTTCTTCCGTAAACTGAGGGTTCGAGTCTCTCCCGCTTTCCAGGAGTTTTGCGTCATTCTCCAAAATCCCCTCGTCGGGATGATGGGTGCAACGTAGACTACAAAGTTCGGTATCATAGTGGTCGCCTAGCTGGACATGGTTGGCTGCCAGCCATACATGCACCTATAGTTCCTCCCCTCAATCATCATATGCTCCTCGCGTTGTCATGCATACATTTGCGAGGTCGTCCCACTCGACGACTCTCTTTGATGCTGCAGCATCAGTGCTGTTCATGTTCAGGTGTAAAAAAGCATCGGGAGGTAGCGGGACACGTGCCTGTGCGATGTAGAGAATGCAGACGGTTGGTCGTTTTCTTTCAACTTTAGGACCTTCCGTCTCCTGAATTAGAATCCGAAAACAGGGGATGGGATGGCCAGGCAGGAATATCTATCTTGAAGGGGCCCCCGGTATGTTGTGCCGTTCTTATAATGAAGAAAGGCTCGTTTGTAAGGATAAGCAATCAGGGAATCCCATGGAGCATTGAAGGCAGCTGGCCTTTGAACCAAACCAGCGGTCAATCCCATCCATACTGATCCTCTCGGAGAGTCTCAGAGCATAGCAGAACTCGGTGCAGGTTTGGCCCATTACAAAGTAGATAATGAGCCCTTGAGCTCACAATAGCAAAATACTAAACTACAAAAGCCCAACAGAACTACAAGCCCTAGTTTTGTTACACGCTTCCTCTGCGCAAAGAGGATTCGACGACCACTAAGCCCTGGTTGCTGTCGAACCTGCATCTACTACTATTCGGTTCTTGACATTCTCCATTACCACTCAGGGCTTGGCAGCCACAGTATGTGCACAAACAGAGCAGACCACCACTTCTTTTGGTGGCAGAAAATCACGACGTAGCTCTGGACTCCTCCTCCTACCGGACCAGAGATTCGCTCGAAACTCTGCTTGCTGAGGAAAGGGGAGAAAAACGCCTGGCTATCCATGGAGTCCTCCCTGCAGCCACTGGCAATAGCTCAAGTTTTAGAAGCTATCAATTTATTGCTCATCATTATCGTTGTCGAAACAATACCGATACGGAACCTGCAACATATGCCAAGGCATGTGGTTGTGGGCTGGCTAGAATATTCTGATGGAAGGGTAGAGATCCCGAGGAGTTGGCAGCTTCCCAGGCCAGCTGACTCAACCGAATGCGCCTTAGGCAAGGAAAAAAGCAACACCTTTTGAGCCATGCATGGTTGTGCTGGATCCCACCGTAGCTTGGAGCAGAAGTATCTGTATGCATAGCTGCGACAAGCGGAGGAAATGTCGCTTCTCTAGACCAAGCTAGGGCCGCCGTGAATGAAACTGTTGCAAGAATTCGCGAGGATCCAATTTCGGATCATGCGGAGCACAGCCACTTGTCCTTGCATTCGACCCGAACGTATTGACGCGATCCTTCTAAATCGCTCCTGGATACCGCGCCTTGAGATCCCGAACGATGCCCGAGGCACCCCATTGCTCAAAGAGCGAAACGGCGGTCTTGAGATACGTATTAGCCGCACGAGCCCCATCGGGAGTTTGCCGCGACATCAAAAAGGATCCAGCCAACTGGTTGGCAAGGGCCAGGTGATGGCACTGCTCCAGCTCCTCAATGGCTTGAATGGCCCGCTCAAATGCTGCCACCGTCATCTTCACATTGGATCTACGTTGGGATGCCAGGTCTTCAGCTACCAGCAGTTGCCAGAGACATTTGCAGTTCACGGATCCCTTATCTGCCCATTGTTGCAGCTGCTTGGAAGCCTTTCTGGCTCTTCTGCGATACTTGCCCTTGCCAGTGTCCTTACAGAGGGCATAGAAGACAAGACCAGTGTAGAATAACCGGAGACGCACCAGGGCAACGGACCCGTCTTCAAAGAGATCGCTCCGCATTGCCTTGATGTGACGCTTGGCTGCGTGGAGATCGCCAAAGTGGTATCCCAGTACCACGGACCAGAATTGAAAATTGTATTGTGCGGGTAGATTGGGATTGGCCTTCCAACTCTCTTGACAGGCTTGGGCATCCATTACGGTGCCAGTGCAAACCGCGGGATTCTCGGAATGACCTTGTAGATTGAGCATGGCTTGATGTTGCGAGGCGTTGATGTACCAGCTTGCTGTTTGCTTGAAGTCTTGCATGGCTTCCGAGTAGAAGGAACACTTTTGGACCGTCACGTCCAGGTGCTCGCCCGCGGCAAAGAAGTGTTGTAGCAAGGTGGACGCGTCCATCAGAGCAGTGTCGATCAAACCGGCGGCCCACAGTCGTTCAAAGGCGTCCATTTCCGCTGCCAACGATTTTCGCACATTCTCCTGCCAATGGTCGACGTAGGCAATCAACATGTCCTCCGAACGAGCCGCAAAGTGAGGGACAATGGCTTTGTTCTTCTCACTGAGCATCCGCGCTAGCTTTGCGTAGGGTTGAGCGCCGGCAAAGTCTCCCATTTGTGCCTTGAAATAACTGGCGTAGAGGTTGTAGGCAAAGAACGACCGGGGATAGTTTCCTTGCTCTGCCACCAAAGTGAGATATCGCATGCTGACATAAATGACATAGGCAAACTTGCCACTGAGAAAACAAGTTTCGGCCAGTGACTGGATCAATGGATACGTTTCACACGAGAGCAGGAACAAAGGTGAGACTCTGTACGAAAAAAGACGAAAAAGGAACGTCCTGCCCGCAAGCAGTAATGTGCTCACCTGTAGAAAGTCCAGTTGCATTTCCAGATCCGCATCGTACACGGCTGGAATATTAAGGAGTTCTTCCTCGGTAGAATTCTTGAGAAACTTTTGCGCCTTTCGGTACTCTTGAAAGACGCGGTAGATGACCATCTTTCGCGGCACCGGCCGTCCCATGACATCCAAAACATCCAAGACCAATTCCATAGCCTCGTTCATGCGTCCCTGTTGCATCAGACACAGAACTTGCGTATGATAGATTTTGCTCTTGTCATCAAAACTTTTGGCATGTGCAATAACGCCTCCTCCCGTTTCCCAGCATTCGTCCAACAACCCACAACTGTACTGCATGCGGGTCAATGCCACACAGAATCGGAGAGTGCGATCGTAGTGTCGCCTCCACGCGTCGTCCCCGAGATGAGTGATGCCCACTTGGAGATATTCCATGGAGGAGAAAAATGCTGTTTTGCGTGCCGCCAATGCGGCCGCTTGATAATTGAGATCGGCCAAATCGAGCAATTCCCAATCGTCATGAATGAGATCGGCACCGGCATTCAATTGTTTGGTGGCATGCAACAAGAGCGATTCTTTGGAAAAAGCTCCAGCTGCAGTGCCACTGCCCAATCCCAATTCGGACTGGGTATCCATCCAGGATCGCAATTGTCGTCCCACACGCAAATGAACTTGTTGGCGGGCATGCTGTCCTTCGGGCAGCAAGCTGTAGGCGGATTCTCGTATTCGATCATGAGCAAATCGAAACTGTCCCGGTGCCATTTCTTCCACGAATCCTTCCAATGCCGCATGTGACAATTCACAACTCATGTCATGAACGCGTTGTCGTACGACGTAGGGGTCTTCGTATTCCTCGTAGTCGCCGATCGATTCATCTGTTGTCATGCTGCAGGTCATGGTCGTGGAGGATCCCTCTGGTTGTTCCTTATTGTTTGGTGGCTCGACCACAGCCACGGCATGCACAATGGTGGCCACATCAAACTGGGAGACCCCAAAACTGGCAGCGACCATGAGCGCCGATCGTCGTCGTTGATTCTTTTCCATTTCGTGTGCGACGACTTGTGAGACATTGTCCGAGATGCGATCGACTTGAGCAATCATGTGCGTGTCAAAGTGCCACTGCTGGTGATGATGATAGATATGTCCGGATCGTTCCAGTAGGCGTAGGAATTGGAGTACGACAAAGGCATTGCCCTGCGTTTTGCGCTGGACAATCTCGGCCAATTCGAGTATATCATCATTGTCCTCTTGATGCTGCCGATGAGGTCGTTCCAATAGTGTGGTGAGAATATCGGCAATCTCGGTGACACTCCAGCGAGGAATGTCCATGATGCGTAGTACTTCCTGTTCTGACGCTTGCTGTTGTGCCATCGTCTGGTAGAGCTGTTCCAGTGCGGGATAATCTTGAATGGGCCGTGTGGCGGCGACGAGTAAAAAGTTGCGGGGACGTTGGGGATCTTCCATCAATGTCTTGACAATCTGAAGGGAATCCGGATCGCAGGAATGCCAATCGTCGAGCAAGAGCACCAATGAAGACTGCGCTTGATGATGCATTAGATACGAACATGTGTATCGTATCAGTGTCCGAAATCCGAGTCGGAATCGTTCAAAGCGGTACTCTCTGCGGTTGAACGTCCCAAAGGCATGGTCGTCGTCATCCGCGTGATGGCGGTCCTTTTCCTCTTCTGCTGCCATCTTGTGGAGACTCGTACTGAGGCTGCTATTGTTCAAGGGAAGGATGCGTCTGAGGGCGGGCAAAATGTCCAAAAAGAGAGGCAACGCCGTTCCTAGCTCTTGCTGCAATCCTTCTGCCCAACCTCGTTGTTCCGCCACTGTCTGATCAGCCCCGGCTTGCTTCGTCTGATGATCCTCCTCCTGATCAGGAGCTTGCTCAGTCTGATTACCCCCCTGATCATGCGTACTGTAGGATGTATCTGACTGCTTCGTCACCGTCTGATGGCATCCCTGATCCGCACTAGCTTGCTCCGTTGTCTGATCAGCTTGCTCGGATGCATCAGACTGACTCTCCGTACATGTAGTTGTACCACCCGTATACATGCTCTCCGTCGTATCAGTAGCAGTGCTACTAGTAGTAGCCAGTGCAGAGTTGTGATGCACATTTAGAAAGTGCTCGACCAGCTCACTGACGGCGTCTCGCAGCGCAGCAAACGGCTCGGAAGCCGCCGCTCGTTCTTCAAACTTGCCTCCCATCACCACGGCTCGTCCCTTCATAGTACAACTACTATTGCCACTACTGCCATTACATAGTTCGTCTCGAAACTGCTGCAAGAGCGCCGACTTTCCAACCCCGGCTTCGGCTTGCATCCACACGGCCGGACTACGAGTTTCCGTAGACGACGCGTACTGCAGCAATTGATTCAGTTCGTGCTGTCGTAGGCGCAAGCCACTCTGATGAAGGACGCCAAAGTCCAGTCGCTTGGTACTCCTATTGGTAGATGTAGTAGCACTAGTACTGCTAGTAGAAGTAGGCGTGGGAAGCGCCATATTTGCCATACTCGTAGGATCCAAGCTAGCCATCGAAGCATCGAGCAGCGCTGGATTTGTTGCTTCGGCCATTATTGTCATCTTGCTTCAGTTGTCTTTACTTGATTTCAGTTGACTTCTCACTTCTATTGATGGTGCTTCACTTCAGTGTTGCTGCTGTCTTGATGCTGTCTTGCGTGTCTTACTTGATCTCAGTGGTCTTGCTTTGCTTGTTCGCATGGTCAAGCCATCAACCGCAGTGTTGCTGCTTCCAAAAATAAGCTATACCTTCTAAAAAAATGATGTTGGATCTTTCCAAAGACTGCTTTGTCACTTGCAAGGTTTCCAAAACGAGAATTGAAACCACGTGCTGAGCATTTTCTAATTATGGATTGTGTTCACCTTCTGATGTGGAGCCTTATGGAACCATGGAATTCATGAACCAGTAGAAGCAGAAAGCTTAAACCGTTTTCTAACAAAAGACTGATTTCACAGGAAAGTCAGTGTTCGATACATGTTCTATGCAGTACACCAATATTCCATACTTCAACCAACGGATTAACTAAACATTCCTGCATCTAGCCTTGGTCAAGCCATTGTCTCCATGCTTCCTCGTTCCTCGCTCCATACAGGTACCTTATCAGATCGAGTGAAAGTCGAGTCGAGTCGAGTCGAGACCAACGATATTGCGACTTGACTTCCTACTTCCTAGCTACTAGAGTAGACAGGTAGCTGGTTGGCCGGATATTAGCTGAGGATACATACAGCCATCGTCAAGCTAATAGTACTATCTCTGCAGCAGCTGTGCTTTTTTGCCTCCTTCCTGACTACGGCATCGTTCACCTGCTGTGCATCGATCGACTCGACTCACTCAACATGGTGCCCTCGATCTCTTCCGCTAGTCTTGCTCCTTTGATCCTCCCTGCCCTCCTGCCTTCACCCCTTTCCTTGGTTTCCATGTTGCCCTGCTTGCGCACTTGATTGCCTGCCATGCGTTCCTGCATCGTGCCCCCCCCTCCCCTCGAGCTCTGTCTCCATCCTCATCTTAGCTCTCTCTAATCCATAGTAACTTCCCACATCACTTGAGTAGAAGACGATCGAGACAAACATGCATGTCTTGCAGAGGTTCCTGGCTGGCTGATTCATTCTTCAACTGCGGCCAGCATCTCCATCGATCGTCCAGCTCGATCCATGATGGCTGCATACTGTATTATGCATGCTTCCGTAGACACGCACTTTCCCTACACTAGCTAAACCCCCGTTGTGTTATTATGCATGCATTTGCTTTGGTCACAGTGATCCAACCTTTTCAAGTGGAGGTCGAACGACCTGATGGTTGTGGCTTGGAGTGCTTTGGCTCCATATGGGCGGAGATACCGGTACCGTACCAACAGGGGCCCTCCATGGAACGCCAGAGAAACTCGAATGCCATCCACACGGCGGACGATGCTCCACTACAGTAGCTAGCTAGCTACCTAGTTTCAGAAGACACCATGGCCAAAACGATGGCACCGGAAAGTGGTACACGTGTACTGCTTGGCTCGTCGATCATTGAACGCCTTTTGCCGCTGAATGGATGGAGGAACGAACGAAATGTTATCTCGTCGCTCCACGACGAGAAAAAGACGGAAAGACGCGGCACCCTCAGGTCGTTGACTCAATTGTCGATCGCTGCATGCTCATGCATGGTGCCGAGGACTAAGTGGATGGTGGGCTTAATTGCGGCGGCTGGATCGAGGCAGCAATTCGAAAAACGGAACCAACGATCGAGAGTTTTCTTGCAACCTGCCGTACCGTACTATAATACTGCAAGAACGAAGGGCGACCACGGCGCTACCGATTGCTTCTTCTTCGGTGGCTCGTGGGATATCGACAGCGTTGGACGGGTCGTGGCCGCAACGATAACGCAGCTTCCATGACCATCGTCGAGCTCTATCTCTGCGTGTGCTTCCTCCTTCCTCGCTACCGATAGCTATGGGCGTCGAGTTGAGTAGAGAAGAGTAGAGTTGAGGGAGGAACAACATTGCGCACCTCTCAACTAATAGAGCTTGTTTGTTGCAGCAGATTGTCTTTAATCGTTATAGCTAGCTATCTCTCGCTATCTCCAACCATGGAGCCATGCCCTCCAAGCACCTCTTCATTCGAAGCTCTGTTGGATAGCTAAAGATGATTGCAGCGCAATGAATAAAGTAAAGCAGTGCATACAGTTCTGTACCTAAAAATTAAAAAATATGTAACATAGAATCACAGTGCGGTAGAATTGGACACGTCGAAAGACCCATCTGCTCCAACCAAAACGTCAATGCTGAGTTCAGGGAAGGGCTCAGAAGCTACCGGAACCCAAGAGTACAACACTGTTTGGTTGGTAGTTGTCAGAGAGATCCAATCAGCCGCTATGCCGTTACCCGTATCAAATCTGTCAGATATAACCAGTTTGTAGGCTGTGTCCGCATTCGCTGGGAAGAGAGAGGAGTATAGATACTTGTTATAACCCTGTGAACCACCTGATTCCAATGTGGACCAAATACCAGTCACATTGGTCTCCTTCTGCCAAACCCATGATGTGTGCCATGGAAAATCATTAGTTTGGATGTTCAGCATGACAACAACAGCATTTGTGGTTGGAAACCTCCCAGGCCAATCAGGTGGAGGTTCAAGGCCAACACAGGTGGAAACAGGAGGAGTTTCATTTTGGGAATAACAATCACACCATAGAAAAGTACAAAGAGGCTCTGGCACAGTTCCTGAGAACTGATTCCCATATAGAGTCAACCCCATAGATGCATTCAGTTGGCTGGGCAGTGTTCCTGTAAGGTTGTTGTATTCAAGAGCCAGGGATGCCAGTGATGTCATATCCCCAATTTCAGTTGGGATCTGGCCAGATAGCTGATTGTCATCAAGGCGAAGCCGGTTGAGTGAGGTTAGGAGCCCTAGCTCGGTTGGGAGTGTTGTGGCAAACTGATTATCATAAAGATCAAGGTGCCACAACGATGTCAAGAGACAAAGCTCTGTGGGAACTGGGCCAGTGAACTGGTTGCCATTCAACCACATCCTAGATAAACCAGTAAGCGCCCCAAACTCGGTAGGAGCCCTGCCAGCGAACTGATTATATTGAAGAGAAATCTCTCTCAATGAGGTCAAGAGCCCGAGCTCGGAAGGATTTGTCCCCGTCAAGCGATTTTGGTTCAAGTCCAGCGCTCTCACATCCGTCAAAAGGCCAAGCTCGGAAGGGACTTGACCAGTGAACTGATTTCGACCCAACGCAAACACAGTCAAAGGAGTTAACATTCCAAACTCAGAAGGAACTGGACCAGTAAACTGATTCATATCAACATTTAGGTGTTGGAATGAGGTCAGGAGCCCAATCTCTGAAGGAATCAAACTGGAGAACTGATTTTGATAAAGCTCAAGAACTTGCAATGAGGTCAGGAGTCCAAGCTCCGAAGGCAGCGGACCTGTCAACTGATTCTGAGCAGCGTTAAGGTTGGTCAGTGACGTCAGGAGCCAAAGCTCAGAAGGAAGTTGACCGGTCAATTGATTGATTTGCAAGATAAGTCGTTTCAATGAAGTCAATAGTGCAATTTCAGAGGGAATTTCACCAGTATACCCAACCTGCGACAATTGGAAAGATGTCAATCCAGTCAACTCGTAAAATTCTGTAGGTAAAAGAGATGAAATTGGTGCCGAGATGCCATTGCTCGACAACTGTGCAAAAGAGACACGAGACAAGGAAGTCAAGAGCGCAATCTCAGGTGGCAAAAACGGGGGGAGACCAGAGAGCTGCAGGTCTTGCAGATACAGAGATATATAGTGTCCTTGACTGTTGCAGGGAAGCGTATATGGGACACCGATGTCTCGAAAATCCCTGAATACCCCTGTACCAAAGTCAAACCATCCAAACCCACTGGTGAACCAGTCACATTCTTCGACTGTGTCATCCATCCATCCGCGAGCCTTTATCAAAGGATGCCAATTGTCTCCCTGAAAAGCATAGAAGAAAGTAGCAAGAGCAAACAGCTGTGTCTTTCTCCATTCTGGAAGAAACGTGATATTTTGATGATTGGCCAGCCATTGCCATGCCCTCCACTGTGGAGTCTCACTGCCATTGTTGATGCTAGCCAGAGTGTGCTCTGGCAGACTATGCAACAACACGTCCAGAGATCCAGTGGGAGCAGAGGATGGCACTTCCGATGGTTCCACGGAGCCATAAACTGTTGGAGCCGCAGTTGCCGGGAGGACAACCACCTCTGGCTCCTTGTTCTTTTGGGTCCCCACCACAAAGCCCACAATAATGGCAGTAAGCAGCAACAACCAAAGAACTGCAGCAATGAAAGTTTTCTGTTGCTGCTTCCTATGGAGTTCACGATGTTGGGTGGCTTCGAGATCAACTGGATTGGCATGCATCAGATCAGCCGTATCATCCTCTACTGCATTAGCCTGTACCAATCCTTCATTTCCTGTCGCAGCAGCAACACCAGAATCTTCTGGACCAGTGCCCGTATTATTAGCACCAACAAGGCCATAGTTCAAGTCGGGATTTCGTTGTTGCGTCTGTCCTCCTGCTGGTGCACCCGGGAAAGCACCTGGCTGAGATTGTGGACGCATTTGGGCTGTTCGGCGCAAGCCAGTTGGTGGGAGTGGCATTATTCCTGCGAGGACCTCTTCGTCTGCAGGGGCCTCTACCGTATTTCCTGGTACAGTAGTATCTCCCGGTACAGTATCTTGTTGTTCCCTCACACGAGAATCCTTTTGCGTGTTGGATGGAACATCATTATCATTTGTGTTGGCATTGGCTGCATGTTCAGTTTTTTCCATTCTGGCAGCTTGATTGATTGCTTCCGAGGCCATTTCCATGATGTTCTCGCTGTTATCATCCTTGTTGGGCGTTTCTTGATTATGGAGATCCTGGGTATTTCTGACGGCATTCCCATCCTGTGATGGACGGTCTTGTTCATCAGTGGTACTGTTGCCCTGAGAGCGATTGTCTTCCTCGTTGGTACCGGTCGTACTACGACCAGTGCTCTTTCCGTCTTTCATGCTGAGTATGATACTAGCTAGTCTAGTGACTAGCTAGTAGTAATCGACTGGAGTCCTTGTCAGTAGGAACAGTGTGGTAATATTCGATCAACTATATAACTGGAGTCAAGTCGAGTCCAGTCCTTCGAAAAACAGGGAAGTCGAGAGCCGGAGGGTAAGTTATTGAGCTTTGGATCTGATCGACGATCGAGGTTACTGAAAATCGTGTTGGAAGTCTTTAAAAAAAATAAAAATCCAAAGACAACAGAATGAATGCCAGTGGACAGAAGTGTGATCTGGAGCTTTTGATGAACAAGGATGTCGATGCGTCAATCGGCACACCTTCTTTTTGTTGACACTGGGTTGACATGTATCCAAGTGCGTGTGTCTGCGTGTTGCATGCGTCGTGTTGTCGCGTTCGCACTCGCAATCCAAAAAAGCAAAAATAATATTTACACCGGTTCCAGTCACAGATGTCTCCAGTTTCGACAGACAAAACTCGTGGAGACTCCACTGGGTGCATACCCTGGATCGACGTTCCTTTTGAGCGGAGGCGTTCCCATATATGCACAATTAGTCGCGTCGACTGCCGATGATGGAGTCTCCAATGGAGATACCGGTATATGTACGGTACTATTTGGTTTGTCACAAGCACGCTAGCTTTCTAGCTAGCTAGCTCGCGGGTTCAATTTAGTCCACTCTATTCTACCGATTGATTCATTACTTCGAGGGAAGCAATCATAGCATCGAGCGTCCGTGCACAGCGATCGTGCACCAAAATCTATACGAAACTCGGGCGTCTGTTGGATCGTTGCCTGATGTACGGTGTTCACGCTATCATGCTTGGTCGAGAGGTAGAGCACGGCCATCATCGATCTATCGCTCGGTCGATCGCTTGCAGGTACCAGCCAAGCAACGTTGCCGCACGATAAACAAACGCCTTGCTTATGCAGCGGCAGAGCCAAGAGAATCAATTGCCGATCGTTGTTCGATTCGATTCGATTCGGAGGATCCACCCTCACGGCGTGGAGATAGCATTCGGTCTTGCCCGTCTTGATGTCCTCCAGCTTCTTTATGAGGAGGCCCACCCCTGGACCAGCAAAGCATCGTGCCATTCAATCCAGGCACGAGGACCACCTTGGGGAAGGTCATCGTGCAGACAGATCCCTGCGTTTTTTGCTGGGAGGTCTTCAGTACCGGTACTGTATGTCGACTGAATTCGTGTGCCACACTAGGAGGATGCCTTGGTTTTCTGCCTGTCTAAGATAGGTTTTCAGATTTTATTGAGTGCCCGTGTCTCCATTGGGTTGTGCCGAAGCGGCTGGATTCACAAAACGTCAGGCGGCCTGCTATTCCCATCGACACCAACAATGTTGGACAATCAAGTATATCGCAGTACTATAGTACACACCGGTACCGATGCCGATGCCGATGCCATCAACGACCGGGTACTTTCCATGTTTCAGTTTCACACATTGATTAATAGTTTTTTATATCTAAGTGTACTATTGCGCCGAAGGCTGTTGCTTTTGTTTCACTCCTTCGACACCTGGCACTACTGGCACAGGTGAAGGAGCAGAAGTGGTCTTTCTGAGGACAGGAAAATATGGTAGTGGATCACAGGGGCAAATCAGAAAGCCTTACGAGTTAAGGGGATATCATAAAGTGATTGGGCTTATTCAGAGAGGGTACGGGGTGGTGGGTAATGACACAGGGGAAGTGTCAAGGGGGAATTGGAATAGAGCGCATTCTGCCAGTTTGCATCCAGATGTAAAGGGCAGATGAAGAGCGATCTTCTGTAAGGAGCAAGCAGCGTCCATCTTCACGATCACGCGCAGCATGGAGGTTTTGCAGCCAAGATTGTTTGAAATGGGTAGGGCGGCTGAGTAGTTGGATCAAGCACATGCGAAAGAAGTGGTGCTGAGAGGGAGGAAGTGTGCCACGACCTTGTAAGTATTCATGAGCGATACTCTGGTGGAGGAAGTGGAGGGCTTGTTTGTGACGGGGGCGCCGTTCGTCATGGAGGGTTGTATTTCGGTGTTCCCAAAGGGACCATGCCATAAGGTGGGATATGCGTAGGATTTTGTAGAGCCAAGAGTTGCCAGTGAAGGAAAAGCCTTGAGAGGAGTAGTAAGCATCCATGTAGCGGGAGAAGAGCTTGGTGGGAAGCCCTACAAGAAAGCATTTCCAACCAATAGTATCCTGGGACTGAATGGTTGCGCTGAGTTGTGGACTCCAAGTGGGGTCAATGACGACCGGGTACTTTCCATGGTCTCTTTCTTTGTCGAGTTGTCTGGCCAAGACGGATGACGGACAGACGAGAGTCCCCAATCTGATTCATCCAGCCAGTGCTCTTCCACGAGGATCACTAACCTTGAGTCGCAGAGCCCATTGTTTTGTTTGTCTTGATCCACCTCTCTTCTATCGGTGTAACAAGACTGCTCTATCGGTGTAACAAGACTGCTCTTTGGTTGCTTCCATCAGTGTAATTGCCTTGATAGCTAATAGACACCATCATTAGTAGCTGTCTACCATCTACATCAATCCCACTGCCGTCGCTGTTTCTTCTCCTCGGCCCTTTTCTTTTTCTCTCCCATCAATCCAGCAGCAAAGAAGTACATCCCGTCATTGGGATCAATCCAACCGAATCCAACCCTGGGAAAACCTCCAGTGTACCACTCTCCCATTAACTCCACTCAATCTATTTGCAATCTCCGTGGAAAATTTCCTTGTAGTGGCAGCGATCCACTACTTCCACAACCTACCAATCCATTACCAACCAATCAATTTCTCGAGTACCGTCACTACTACCGTCATTGGCAGCATTTCAACCCCAAAATGGGACCATAATTCAACATCCTTCCCACTTCCACGATATCCTGTCTCTACTACTACTACTACCGTGACAGCCAATTTCTACACAACCAGTAGTCAATAAATTTCTATTTCCTCGGGATGTACTACCAGCATCGATTGTCAGCACTCCAACTCCACCCCGGCACTCCCTTCTTCAGTGTCAATTTCCCAATACCATCAAAATCCCTTTCTTCTGGTCACTACTGTACTACTATAATGGAAAATCCCCGGCCCGGATCCCATACTATCGTATCCCGTCTTGCGTCACAGTCAAAAACTACAAATCGACCACTCTCTTCCGAAAACATCATCCATTTTCCAATGCCATCTGATTGCTTTCTACCACTACTACCAGGACGCCGATCTCGGTGTACAGAATTAGACCGTCCTCAAATTCAAATTCCTCAAGAAGTACTACCGGTACCACCGTCATTGGCAGCACTCCAACTCCAAATCCGTCACTCCCTTCTGGGGCGGTCATTCCATATCAATTCTATGAAGAAATCAAATTCCTTCTACCGCCCACTCCTCCCATGACGGCAAATCCCAACCATGATTCCCAATGCTATCAAATCTTTTCTACTATTACTACTGTGACGGCAAAATTTGCACAATCAGCTGTTCACTTCTCATTCCTTGGGACCCACTATCGTTGGGACCCACTATCGTCTTTGGCCACAATCAAACTCCAAATCGACCACTCTCCCTAGGACCATCATACAGCATCGGTTCTCAATGCCATCACGTCGTTCTATCCCACTCCTAAGGGGACGCCGATTCACGGATACAGAATCAGCTGTCAAATTCGGCCCCCAGGGGCCCTACTGCGGTCGTTGACATCGCTCCTACTCCAAATCTACAACTACTTCCGTGCTGGCAAAATCTCAATTCCCAATGTCATCAAATCTTCTCCACTATTACTACTGTGACCGCAAATTTTGTACAATCAACAGTTCATTTCTAATTCCTTGGGCCCTACATGATAGCTTTCTTTGGCCACAGCACCACTACTACCGGATGCAAAATTCCCGTGTACACAATCTGCACTCAACATCTAATTTTCTTGGGTCTTACTATACCATCTTGGCGGCAGCCAAACAGGACGGCCTGGACATCCGGGTGTTCATAATCGATCGATTCGATTTCCGCTTGAAGATCTTGAAGGAGACGAGTTGCGTGATCATAGTCGTCGAGAAGATCGTTCAAGGCAACCACTCGCTCTTCTAAGGAGAGATCACTCACGTTGACGTTGACTTTGGCATTGACATCAGATTTCAAATGCACGTCTAGCGCCTTAAGATTTTCTCCACGCAAAAATCCACCCACACTGTCAAAGGCAGTACTGCTACCAGTACTGCTACCAGTACTGCTACCATTACCAGTACTGATACTGTCCGCACCTGCTTCCGCCACAGCTGCTGCTCTCTCTTGGAACGTACCGCTGGGACCGGTACTAGAAGCTTCCGCAGCTCCTACAGCTGGCAGAGACGGAGAGACAAAGAAGAAAAGACAGAGCAACGCAAGTGTCCTCAGCGTCATACTACTCATCGTCGACGTCGACGTCGTGGGCAACACAGATAATACCAGTACCAGTATCAAACAACAATCGCAACTGTTACCATACGAGCAAGAACGTTTTTATGGAAGGTATTCTAGCACTTTTTAACTTTTTGGTGGTCAATCAGTATAGATCTGGATGGTTCAGAGCTGTCAGATCAGACGTGTGTGCCATGCATATCATAATCATCCTGTACAGCCGTACTAGCTAGTCTAAGTAAAGCAACTCGATTGTCTCATCTTCTTTTCTCAGAAGCGCGACAAGAGGGCTGGTGATGGCAGGGTGTGGCTCGATCCTTCTTATCTCACATAAGCCCTTCTTCTTCTTTTCCTTACTACGAGTAGCTAGCTAGTACATTTTTTGTGTCGTTGATCCATACATGTACGTATGCTACTGAAGTACAACTGGGTCCTAGCTAGTAGTACATGTAGATTCAAAGATATAAAGGAAAAGGGGGGTCACAATGGATGCGTTCTACAGGATAATGCGGGTAGTCTGTGCTGGATCACTCCAATGCTGCATTGAATGAAGCTCCCTCAAGCTACCAAGTGCCTAAGAAGAGGTTCACATGGGTCTTGCAGGAGTGCCGGTGGTCTGGATTTGGATCCCAAATGCTGCATTAGTGACAGCTTCCTCACCCTTCAGTTCCTAAAGAAAAGGATCACATGGGGTCTTGCAGGAATGCGTGCCGTGGTCTGGACTTGGATTCTCCAATGCCGCATGGAGTGACAGCTCCACGCCCTACCAAGTTCCTAAGAAAAGGGTCACATTGGGTTCTACAGGAATGCTGGTAGTCTGGACTTGGATTCCCCAATGCGCAATTGAGTGACAGCTCCCTCACCCTACCAGTTCCCATGAAAAGGTTCACTTGGGTCCTACAGGAGTGCAAGTGTCTGGGCTTGGATTCCCCAATACCGCATGGGGTGACAGCTCCCTCAACCTACCAACTTCCCTGAAAAGGTCACATGTGGTCTACAGAAGTGCCGTGGTCTGGACTTGGAATGCCATGTGTCTGGACTTGGTTTCCAATGCTGATTGAGTGACAGCTCCCACCCTACACAGTTCCCAATGAAAACGTTCATTTGGGGTCCTACAGGGTGCCAGTGGGTCTGGGCTTGGATTCCCAATACCGCATGGGTGACAGCTCCCTCAACCTACCAGTTCCCAAAGAAAAGTTCACATGTGGTCCTACAGAATGCCGGTGGTCTGTGCCGCATGGAGTGACAGCTCCCTCACCCTATCAGGTTCCTAAGAAAAGGTTCACATTGGGTCTTGCAGGGAATGCCGGTGGTCTGGATTGGATTCCCAATGCCGCATGAGTGACAGCTCCTCACCCTACCAAGTTCCTAAGGAAAAGGGTCACATGGGGTTCCTACAGGAATACGGGTAGTCTGGACTGGATACTCCAATGCTGCATTGATGACAGCTCCCCAAGCTACCAAGTCCTAAGGAAGAGGTTCACATGGGTCTCAGCGAGTCCAGTGTCTGGATTGGATTCCCCATGCTGCATTGAGGTACAGCTTCCCACACCTTTCAGATTCCAAGAAAAGGATCACTTGGGGTCTTGCAGGGAAGCCGGTGGTCTGGACTTGGATTCTCCAATGCCGCATGGGAGTGACAGCTCCATACCCCTACCAAGTTTCCAAGGAAAAGGGTCACATTGGTCTCTTGGCGAGGAATGCCGGTAGTCTGGACTTGGATTCCCAATGCTGCATTGAGTAAAGCTCCCTCACCCTAGTACCAGGTTCCCAATGAAAAGGTTCACTTGGGTCCTACAGGAGTGCAAGTGGTCTCGGCTTGGATTCCCCAACACCACATGGGGTGACAGCCCCTTAACTACCAAGTTCCCATGAAAGGTTCACATATGGTCCTACACGAAGTGCCGTAGGATGCCATGGTCTGGACTTGGATTTCCCAATGCTGCATTGACTGACAGCTCCCTCACCCTACGGTCCCATGAAAAGGTTACTTGGTCCTACAGGAGTGCAAGTGGTCTGGGCTTGGATTCCCCAATACCGCATGGGGTGACAGCTTCTCTTACCTACCAGTTCCCGAATGAAAAGGTTCACATGTGTCTGCAGGGAAGTGCGGTGGTCTGGACTTGGAATGCCAGTGGTCTGACTTGGATTCTCCAATGCCGCATGGAGTGACAGCTCCATCGCCCTACCAAGTTCCTAAGGAAAGGGTCACTTGGGTGTCTACAGGAATGCGGGTAGTCTGGACTTGGATTCCCCAATGCTGCATTGAGTGACAGCTCCCTCACCCTACAGGTTCCCATTGAAAAGGTGTCACTGGGGGTCCTATAGGAGTGCAAGTGGTCTGGGCTTGGATTCCCCAATACCGCATGGGTACAGCTCTCTTAACCTACCAGAGTTCCCAATGAAAAGGTTCAAATATGGTCCTACAGAAGTGCCGGTGGTCTGGACTTTGGAATGCCAGTGGTCTGGACTGGATTCTCCAATGCTGCATTGAGTGACAGCTCCCTCACCCTACCAAGTTCCCAAGAAAAGTTCATTTGGGGTCCTACAGGAAGTGCCAGTGGTCTGGCTTGGATTCCCCAATACCCATGGGTGACAGCTCTCCTCAACCTACCAAGTCCCAATGAAAAGGTTCACATGTGGGCCTACAGAATTGCCGGTGTCGTGCCGCATGAGTGACAGCTTCCTACCCTACAGGTTCCTAAAGAAAAGGTCACATTGGGTCTTGCAGGGAATGCGGTGGTCTGGACTTGGATTCCCAATGCGCATGGTGACAGCTCCCTCACCCTACCAAGTTCCTAGGAAAAGGGTCACATGGGGTCCTACAGGAATACGGGTAGTCTGGACTTGGATACTCCAATGCTGCATTGAATGACAGCTCCCTCACCTACAAGTGCCTAAGAAGAGGTTCACATGGGGTCTTGCAGCGAGTGCCGGTGGTCTGGATTTGGATTCCCAATGCTGCATTGAGTGACAGCTTCCTCACCCTTTCAGATTCTAAAGAAAAGGATCACATGGGTCTGCAGGGAATGCGCGCCGGTGGTCTGGACTTGGATTCTCCAATGCCGCATGGAGTGACAGCTCCATCGCCCTACCAAGTTCCTAAGGAAAAGGGTCACATTGGGTTCTACAGGAATGCGGGTAGTCTGGACTTGGATTCTCCAATGCTGCATTGAGTGACAGCTCCCTCACCCTACCAGGTTCCCATTGAAAAGGTTCACTTGGGGTCCTACAGGAGTGCAAGTGGTCTGGGCTTGGATTCCCCAATACCGCATGGGTGACAGCTCCTCAACCTCACCAAGTTCCCAATGAAAAGGTTCACATGGGTCTACAGAAGTGCCGGTGGTCTGACTTGGATGCCAGTGGTCTGGACTTGGATTTCCCAATGCTGCATTGAGTGACAGCTCCCTCAACCTACCAGGTTCCCAATGAAAAGTTCACTTGGGGTCTCTACAGGAGTGCTGTCATTGATGGTCTGGGCTTGAATTCCCAATACCGCATGGGGTGACAGCTCCCTCAACTACCAAGTTCCCAATGAAAGTTCACATTGGTTTTCAGAAGTGCCGGTGTCGTGTCTCAAGCATGGAGTGACAGCTCCCTCACCCTATCAGGTTCCTAAAGAAAAGGTTCACATGTCTTGCAGGGAATGGCCGTGGTCTGGACTTGGATTCTCCAATGCCGCATGGAGTGACAGCTCCCTCACCCTACCAAGTTCCTAAGGAAAAGGGTCACATGGGGTCCTACAGGAATCGGTAGTCTGGACTTGGATACTCCAATGCTGCATTGATGAACAGCTCCCTCAAGCTACCAGTGCCTAAGGAAGAGGTTCACATGGGTCTTGCAGCGAGTGCGTGGTTGGTTTGGATTCCCCAATGCTGCATTGAGTGACAGCTTCCTCACCCTTTCAATTCCTAAAGAAAAGGATCACATGGGGTCTTGCGGGAATGCGTGCGCCGGTGGTCTGGACTTGATTCTCCAATGCGCATGGAGTGACAGCTCCCTCGCCCTACCAAGTTCCTAAGGAAAAGGGTCACATTGGGTTCTACAGGAATGCGGGTAGTCTGGACCTTGGATTCCCCAATGCTGCATTGAGTAAAGCTCCCTCACCCTAGTACCAGGTTCCCAATGAAAAGGTCACTTGGGGTCCTACAGGAGGCAAGTGTCTCGGCTTGGATTCCCCAAATACCGCATGGGTGACAGCTCCCTTAACCACAGTTCCCAATGAAAAGGTTCACATATGGTCCTACAGATAGTGCCGGTGGTCTGGACTTGGAATGGCCAGTGGTCTGGACTTGGATTTCCCAATGCTGCATTGATGACAGCTCCCTCACCCTACGGTCCCATGAAAGGTTACTGGGGTCCTACAGGAGTGCAAGTGGTCTGGGGCTTGGATTCCCCAATACCGCATGGGGTGACAGCTCTCTTACCTACCAAGTTCCCAATGAAAGGTTCACATGTGGTCTACAGAAGTGCCGTGGTCTGGACTGGAATGCCAGTGGTCTGGACTTGGATTCTCCAATGCCGCATGGAGTGACAGCTCCCTCACCCTACCAAGTTCTAAGGAAAAGGGTCACATGGGTCCTAAGGAATACGGGGTAGTCTGGACTTGGATACCCAATGTGCATTGAATGACAGTCCCTCAAGCTACCAAGTGCCTAAGGAAAGAGGTTCACATGGGGTCTTGCAGCGAGTGCCAGGTGGTCTGGATTTGGATTCCCAATCTGCATGAGTGACAGCTTCCTCACCCTTTCAGATTCCTAAGAAAGGATCACATGGGGTCTTGCAGGAAGCGCGCCGGTGGTCTGGACTTGGATCCCAATCCGCATGGAGTGACAGCTCCCTCGCCCTACCAGTTCTAAGGAAAAGGTCACATTGGGTTACAGGAATGCGGGTAGTCTGGACTTGGATTCTCCAAGCGCATTGAGTAAAAGCTCCACACCCTACAAGGTCCCAATGAAAAGGTTCATTGGGTCCTACAGGAGTGCAAGTGGTCTGGGCTTGGATTCCCCAAT